CCCCAAAACCCCAAAACCCCATATTGCGTAATTTCTAATTAATTAAAAGTATTTTATAATTGCTAAAATCTAAATTTAATTTACATTATAATTACGTGTTTGAAGATTTATGTTTTAAATATATATGGAATAAAGGTTTGCTTACTCAATATTGATATGCTGAAATTATCTTGAATCTCGGTTTTAAACTCACTGAAATTGTTTCCCCAATCAAAGCTTAGATAACTGATCTAATTGAGAAAAATCTCCAGAATTGTAGATAGCAACAGCTCTTAACCCCATTTCTTCAGTTATATCACCCTCTCCATAATAATATTATCTTTTGTCATTTTCTTCATGAGGACCATAATATTAAATTCTGCATCCAACAGCTTAAGCAAATCTGAACATTGGTATAGATGCCATAGAGAACACCCCATATCTATATCCTCTTTCTTTCCCAGTTTAAAAATTTGCATCCACTCTTGCAAATTTGGATTACTCACCTGCTCTCCTTATCTTTCAGCAAAATTTGCTTATACTTCACATATTAAAAGTTTTATGTGAGGATCTCTTCTTCAATATTGTTAGGTAGCTGACTACCTCAACTTAGACTCAAATCATATAGTTTTCGATTGTGAAGTCCTGAGATCTATAGAGACTGAAAAACTGGTTTGGTTGTAACGAGAGAAATGGTGGTGAATTCCTTTAATTGCAAGGAGCCATTGAAATTTTTGAGCAGTTATCTCCACTTGTTGAGTTGATAATAGATAAAGAGTTTAAATTTTACTGTCACAGGGGTTACCATAGCTTACGCGTGCATATATTAGACTTACTTAACTTAACGAATATTATTATGACCAGATAGTTAAAAATTAATGAAGGAATATATAATCATAGCTTTGATTAATATAAGTTACACCATTTAATCAAAGTCTTGCATTAAGTATAGACGCGTCTATTGAATTAGAGTCAAAAACAGCTATTCCTCTTACTGCCATATCCTTAGAAAATTCTCCTTCTCCAAAATAATAGTTTTTCTTGTCGTTCTCATCTATAGGACCATAATATTTTATTATTTTGCAACCTATCGATTAGCATAGTCTAAGCATTGCTAAACTGGCAATAGAAAATACACCATATCTGTACCCTTTAGAAATACTCTCTTTCATAGCTGAAAGACTCAGTTTCCAAATTAATTTGTTTCTTCTGTATTCTTCTTTCGTTGTAGTGTATCCCAGATATCGGTACAACCCAGGCTAAGGCTTGAGTAATTCAATGGCATCAAGTCTAATATTTCTGATAACTTACTGCTGCGAATTTAATTTATCTACTTCAGCAAAGGGTTCAAAAGTCAAGTCATACGTAAAGTAATAAGACACCAATTATTCTCCATCGAATGCTGCAAAAGTAGTTCCCTGCTCAAAAATCCGGTAAGCTGTTTATTTCTCAAATTCAGAAATCATTTCCTCTTTATTCAAAGTTTTAAATTCTTCCAACTTTAGAAATTCATCAGCTCTTAAACTAAGGGCCATATCAATTTCTTCTTTTGATTTTAAGGATCTTATAACAAATTTTTTTGTGTTGCTTTTCTCCTCTTTAGTCTTATTCTTTTGCATATGTAAACTATAATGATTAATAAATTATTTATAAATTTATGCTTAATAAGACTAACTTAATAGTAACTATATTTGTGAGTAATTTAAACTATTTTGGCTTGTTTCAGATTAAATTAATAAAGGATTAAGAAAAGTCATTCACAATTTTAAAATTTTCGCTTAGTAATTATATATGATAAATTTTCTAATAAATTAGAATTTATATTTATTGTTTTATTTTCAAAACTGTTAATCATATTCATAATAGCGGGGTTTTGGGGTTTTGGGGTTTTGGGG